GCTTAGGCAACAGTGGCAAAACCTGGAGCAATCATCTCCTCACAGCGGATGAAACAGAGGGCTCGGTGTGCTTTTCTGTCGCCGGCTTGGCTTCTTCCGGAGTCTGGGACGAGAGGGAGCGGCGCGGCTTGTCCCCGCCGGCTGCCGAATTGCTCCAGAAGAAAAAATCACAGGAGACASAGAGGGGATGGCAAAGTCGGAAAACTGTTTGTCCAAGCCAACAAACCCGAGCTAGCTAAACGGCAACAATTTAACTCCCCTGCATGCCATGAGCAGGACTCCTGCAGCGCTGAGCTGAGGTCCAAAAGCCAACAGCTGCACTGCAGCCCCGGCTTTTAAACTGCCTGTGCCATCCCTGCCCCTTCTTCAGGTTCAGATTTGAAGGCACAGACACCTTTTTTGCATACAAACTGATGGAATATAGGAATACAGGATTGGCACAATATCAACCCAAGACAGGCCCGGAGAGGACAGTGAGCTCTGTGTGGGAGTGCTGGCCTCTCCAGTCCCATGCTCATGTCTGCCTGGGCAATGCAGAGACAGACCTGACCGTAGTGTTCAGCTCCTCTCACGACTCCATGTGCCCTGCACCTTGCAGCTTGTCTAAATACTTGAGCATTGCTGCTTGTGGCTGTGCTGGCTCTGCACACAAAAGCCCTGGGTACAACAGCAGATCATATCTTGGCCCCACATCCTCAATCAGGCCCACAATGCAAACCCCACATCCTTTATGAGGCATCAGATACTTCAGAATGGCTGTTATTTAGGCCATATCTAGTGTGTTTGCTCCTTAATTTCTTTTGCAAGTGCTATTTTAAGAAGGCAGACAGTTATACTGTGTTTTTTCCCTCATGTTAACTACTAGAGAATGCTGCCRAAATTTTTAGTTGCTTGGGATATTTTTCAGCCGCATGCTGCTTGTATTGTTCTGTCAACATCCATGYATCCTGTGGATTTCACAARTGGTTTTGGAGYATAAAAAGTGTCATCAGCTCTTATTCAAATTTCTGCTTCTTACYGGTGTAGACCACAGTRTGCACTATGAARCCAATKACTTRAGCRAGACTTAAAAAAATAGGTAAGTTTYTCKRTGCCWYGTTCATTTKTCTTGGTCTAGATTGGGAYCTGTGTTTTAAATCATGCTGGGACCATACAATTACTGCACTGGTGTTCTATGCACTACTGCTTTTAAATATCT